TGGCTCGCGCCTGTCATCCCAGCACTCGGGGAGGCAGGGGTGAGAGGGTTGCCTGAGCCCACAGGTTGGAAACCAGCCCGGGCACCATGGTGAGACCTCATCTCTCCAGTAAAATGAGCCGGGCGAGGTGGCACACGCCTGTCTTCCAGCTACTCGGAAGACTGAGGCGGAAGGATCGCCTGAGCCCAGCAGGTCGAGGCTGCGGTGACCATGAGCGTGTCACCACACTCCTTCCTGGGTGAGAGTGAGACTCCGACTCAGAAAAACAATGAGGGCTCCCAGGCCCACGCTGCAGTCCTTCCCCTCTCTGTCCTGCAGGGATCTCCAGTAGTTGGAGCGCAGCAGAGAGAGGTTGCAGAGAGGGGTGCTGATGCAATCGTTAGGTTCGAGTGCAGGCACAGACCCCTTGAGGAAGGAAACTCAGACACGGAGCAACACCTGGGGCAACCCACGGACCTCCTTTTGGGCGTCATCCTAGCTTTTTGCTTTTTAGCCATTGCAATTTGCTTTTGCTTATTCTAGTAATAAAATCAACTTTGTATCCCCAAACATACTGATAAGCAGTATGAATACAAAATGCTGATGAACACCAGTGAAGGGATCAAATATTGTTCTTAGGAACCAGGTGGACGAGTCCAACAGTGCAAGCCCTTCCCCTCACGTTGCAATGTAAACAAATCACATTTTTCCTTCTTCTGTGGGGTTTGAAGAGGAACCCATGTAATATACAGTACAACTTCTGTAAAGGGCTTTTCTAAGCTGTTTTAGGCCCTTTGATGCCTTTGTACAAAATACTGGTGCTGAGGGTCCATGGTGGTCATCCATGTGTTGACTTGTGCGTTTCCAGTGCTTCTGTGGAAGGCGACAGGTCATCAGTGGGGTAGGAGAGATGACAGGTGCTCTTGAGAGAGGCCCTCATTGCTGTCCTGAGAGGTCAGGGCTGTGCGAGGTCCCCCGAAGCTGTCTGCAGACAGCACGTGCGACTGCCTGCTAACTAATGGCCTACCATCAGGAAACAGACTCTCGTGTACCTGGGAGGCAGGTGTGTGGGACGAAATAGAAATAGCCATTAGGTCATTGGAGTCGGGTCAGATGTGTTGACTTGTGTAGCAGAAAGCATTTTCTTGGTGAAATTACTTCCTGTCCCATGGAGTGCCGGGACCTGGGCCAGAGGGCTGTGCTTCCCCAGCATCCTCAGGAGTGACATATTTGGGAGGATGGCCCTCCTTCCTTTTTCGTGTCCCCTCAGGCGAGATGATGCCTACTGGCCAGAAGCCAAGCGGGCCGCCCTGGATGAGCGCTACCACTCTGACTTCACCCGCCAGGACCGCTTCCACGACTTTGACCACAGGGACCGGGGCCGCTACCCCGACCACTCAGTGGACAGGTCAGTGGCCCCGCCGACCCTGCCAGCTGTCGCAGATTTTCTGTGTCCTGGGCCCTTCCCTGAGAACAAGGACAGGCTCTCTGCCCTGGGCCTGCTCAGTCTGTCAGGCAAGTGCTGACACAGGCTCCGGCACCACCGGCAAGTTCAGCTTGTGCAGTGGGGCTCTTCGACCTGCGGGTCCGATGGGCTCTCTGTTATCAGCGAGCCTCTTCCCCTCCTCATGGTTGGATTTCAATTACCTCTTTCAGGAGAGAAGGTTCAAGGTCAATGATGGGAGAAAGAGAAGGGCAGGTAAGTTGGAAGCTGCCTTCATGCCACCGTCTGCCCCAGAGCTGGTTCTTTCCCCTCTGCTGCTGCTCCTTCCCCTTGAGGGACAGGAGAAGCCCGGCGCCTTCCAGGTTGGGGAAGGAGAGTTGGGGTGATTGGGGCTTGGGCTTGGCAGTCAGCCCAAACCGTTCTGAAGCCTTTGCTGGCCTTGACCTTGAGTTCATGTGCCGCATTCACTGCCCACACTGGCACAACAGTGCTGAGGGCCTCGTCTGCCTGTCTGCATCGGGTGGGCTGGGCTCTCTGTGTTCGTCCCCAGAGCATGCCTGTTTGTGTTGGAGGCGTGGAGACTGTGGGCACACTTGCTTCGTTGGCAGGGCCCACCTTAGAAGCAGCAGCCGGCCATCTCTCTTGTCTTCTGTCTTGCGTTTAGGTTGAGGATTTCCCGAAGGAGCCTCCTAGCCCGAGGAGGTTTACGGGAAAGTGTGGGAGCAGGAGGGAGGCCGAGGCAGCAGATCACAGTGGCCAGGCGGTGCCCGTGGGTCCTGCCTCCTCCTTGTGAGCCTTTCCTGGCCTCCAGCTTCATTCTGTCTCGTGCTCCCTGGGCTCTTTGGTGTGCCTGGGGGTAGGGAAGTGCGTGGCTCTGTCTTGGGTCTCCTGCCAACCCACGACGCTCACACGATTCCTTTTCCTCACTCCTGGAGGTCAGTCTCATGCACTGAAATCTAGAACTAGTCGTCTCTTTTTCTTTAGCTGAGAAGTGTAGCCTGTGGTTAAATGCCCAGGCTCCATCACCTATCACAGAACTGGGGTCACATCCTGGTGCAACTCCCTGAGCCTATTTCTCCAGCTGTGAAGTGAGGTTAGGGCTCTTCCCACATAGGGTGGGGGGGTGAAAAGAGGTAGTGCACAGGTCACCTAAGCCGAGTGTGCGAGTCCTCCCACATGGTTCTTGATCACTGCTACCTGCTTCCCTTTTTAGAGACAGGGTCTCACTCTGTCACCCATGCGGGTCTCAGACTCCTGGCCTCAAGTAATCCTCCCACCTCAGCCTCCCAAAGCACTGAGATCATCATTAGAGAATGATTATTCTTTAGTTCTTAAATGTTTGACATTCTCAAAAAGTAAATGAAACTGTCAAAAGTGATGAGCTAGATTTTTTTTTTGTTTTAAATCACTGGCCAGGTGCGGAGGTGGAGAGGATTGCCTGAACCTAGGGTCAACTTGGCGAGATCTCATCTCTACAATAAATCAAAGAATTAGCTGGGCATGGTGGTGCATGCCTGCGGTCTCAGCTACTTGGAAGGCTGAGGCAGAAGGATCGCCTGAGCCCAGCAGGTCTGCTGTGGTGGCCATGCTACTGCACTCCAGCCTGGGTGACAGACTCCGACTCAAAAAATAAAAATAAGTTTAAAAAAATCACTGTGAGTCAGGCTCGGTGGCTCAGCCTGTAATCCCAGCACTTTGGGAGGCCGAGGTGAGTGGATTGCCTGAGCCCACGGGTTCGAGACCTGCCTGGGCAACTTGACGAGACCTCATCTCTACAATAAATCAAAAAATTGCTGTGTGTGGTCGCGTGTGCCTGTAGTTCCAGCTACTGGAAGGCTGAGGCAAAAGGATCGCCAGAGCCCAGCAGCTCGAGGCTGCGGTGGTCGGGAGCGTGCCACTGTACTCCAGTTTGGGTGACGGAGTGAGACTCCAACTCAAAAAAAAAAAAAAAATCGCTGTGCTTGCAAGCTGTTTGCAGAAATATTGTCTCAGGAGTCCCGATGAAGAGATTCTCCTTGGATTGGGCAGCATTGCCTCTCACAGATGCATGGCTGCCATTGTGCCCTTGAAGGATAGATGCTATAGTTTGGTCATCTTGCAGAATTAGCCCCATGTTCCTGTTTTGTTTGGAGCTGTCAGGGCATGTGTTTGGGGAGCATAGGCCAGGGTTCAGGCGGTGATGCACAGTGCGCTGCTGCCCCAGTGGTCAGGACCCCTTGCTCTTGGCACCCCTGTGAGAGCCTGTTGCCATCCTTGCCCTCGCCCTGGGGCAAGGTGAACTTGGGGGAGAACTTGCCCTCTGTGGGGAGGTGAACTTGGACGTACATTGTGACCAGGCCACATGGGGTCATCTAGTGTTCATGAGCAGGTCTCCTAGTTTCTGTTCACCTAGAATAGCACTCTGGGGCAAAAATGCAAAGGCCACAGACTGTGTTTGTGGAAAAGAGGGAGCAGCAGGACTGTGGAACCAAAGCCAGCTCACGAGCTTCCAGGTGAGTCTGGAAAGTTCTTCCAGCCACAGAAGCAGTCGTAGGGTGGATATTCACCTTGGTCTGCACCATGTGGACATGGAGTGTGGGGCTTCCTCTTTTGTTCTTCCTTCAAATGGCAGCAGGTAGGACAGGGCTGAGAACTCATGGCCTATGTCCACCACAGAGTATAAAAACAGAGACACAGGAGAGAGCAGTGGAGTGGCCACGGGGGTGACCACTGGATAGGTGTCCTGAGTCCCGAGCAAGCAGGGTGCAAAGCCCCGGTCAGGGCAGAACCTTCTAAGAAACTTGACTTTGAGGAGGATACTCACCTCCAGAGTCGTGAGGGAAAGGCTGCAGGTGATGGAACGCCCACGTGATGTCAGTTGGCTATTTATCGTGGAATTTACTAAGTCCATGCATGCAGCTTTTGTCTGTCTTTGAAGGAAAGTCACTGTCAGCTTTACTACATGCTGGTGAGGGTGCCCTTTAGGAAAGGGGACCTCCTTTAGCGGTCCTGCCGTTGGGTGATGAAGAAATGTATCCAGCAAGGCTCGTGGATAGTGGGTGGGTGGGGTGTCGCGTGCAGCTGCAGCTCACCTCCTTTGCTGCGGAAGGAAGAAATGTGCAGGAATGCAATTCCCCCAGTCTGTGTGTGTGTGAAAGGTCTGTCAGCCGGGCATCTCCGTGGGAGAAGACACTGGATGAGAGATGCTGTCAGCTCTTGGGAACTGCCACACGGGCTGTGGGCTCCTGGAGCTCCATTGTAGGCGTCTTGAGCGGAACGAGGGACCTGTGGCCCTCCCGGCTCTGGGGGCGCTGTGGGATCTGCCTGGAGATGCCCTTCGTGGTGGTGTGCTGTCGCTGGGCCCCGTGGCGCCCCTGGGATTCCTGGGAGCCTGGATCCTCAGCTTTTGGGTCTGGGTGAGCCGCGGCGCCACATTTCTTCTTCCGTGACCATCTTTTTGCTGGGCCACGAGTCTCGGGGACGGCTTCCCGGCCTGTAGATTTCAGGGAGGCGGCTGGGTCAGCAGTTCGGCCCAAGGTGCTGCCGCTGTCGTCGGCAGCCTGTGGCCTGATGGGCCCTGGGACCCAG